TTACTTCAGCTTAGAGAGATAAATAAATTTTTTATGTCTTTTCTATTTAGAATGAACACAAGATTGATCTTCAAGATTTGCTACATCAATTGGAAACAAGCATAGAGAAAGGGCTGAGTTCAAACATTGTTGCTAGAAATATTAAGCGTGATGGTTTGAATAATCTTGAAGATATTAAAACTACATCTGAATGGATTAAGTTCTTAAAACAAATGACAAATGGTTTTGCATTACTTTTGTGGGCTGGTGCCATACTTTGTTATATTGTCAGCATTATTTCATTCACAAGCCAACCAGAACCATCATATGATGAAGTGTATTTGGGCTCTGCATTGGCAATTGTTGTTCTTATTACTGGTATTTTTTCATATTACCAGGTGAGAGGTTATTATGATGAAAATAGTTTTTTTTTATAGTAAATATTTAATAACTTAGATTAGATAACAAAGACCTGACATTATGTCTGTTTTAAAATTGAACTATTCTTTTTTTATTATTTTATCAAATTTTAAAAGATAATTGCTAGTGTCATCTTTCATTATTTAAATATTTACAACTTTTTTGTTTTTACCCAAATATAGACCTCAAGTAATTTTTTGGTTCTTGTTTTATTGACTGATTTATTTAGAGATTATCAAAGCAGAATGTACATTCAAAAATTTGTTCTCTAAAGAAGAGTTGAACCCTCACACTTGTTACTCAGGTCTCAAACTTAGTATGTTTAACCAACCATGGCTCCACGCCAATATATTGCTTCATTAAAAGTTAAAGAATTAAAACATTTTTTTGCATATAAATAATAGTTTTTTTGTGGGTTTATTCTTTGTACGCACGAATAAATAATGACTTTCAAAGTAATATTAAATAGTAATAATTATTAAATGTATCTAAGAAAATTAAAAAGAATGTTTTATCTAAAATCATGAGAAAACTTTGGGGGTAAGGGGGGGTAGGGTACAAATTTATTGCATAATTTTATGGAAGAGGTTCAGTAAAAAGTAACAATTTGTTATTGGGACACCTCAACCTTCTATCCTTGGTCCTGTTTTGTTTATATATACATTAATGATCTTACTGACAACCTAAGATCTAAAGTGGCTCTATTTGCTGACAGCTTAACTTTATACTCCTGTCTTGAAAAAAGTCTTTTTGATTGCTTATAAAAGGCAGTTGATATTGAATCTGATCTTACTTCTGTAACAGGTTAGGGCTTGCAGTGGCTTGTGAATTTTAACTCCAACAAAAATCAGTCATTTACTGTAAACACATATTGTGATACTGTTAACATTCCTTATTTCCCTATTATTAAGTGACAAGCCTAAGTATCATTTAGGCTTGATCGTTTGAAAATTTATCATCTGCTAAGGTTGCTCTTTATAACACTTTCCATTTTCTTACTCCTGATTCCATTCTCTACCTCAAATCTCGTAATTGTCCCTGTATAGAATACTGTTATCTTATTTGGGATGGTTCTTCTAATAATACTCTTTTTTTTCTAGACAAGGTCCAAAAACACATTGTAAATGTAGTTGGACCCACTCTATCTGCTAAGCTTGAGCCTCTTTTCCAATGTTGTAAAGTTGGATCTCTTTCTCTTTTCTACAAATCATGGTTGCTGCTCAAAGAAGCTATCATTTCTAGTTCCATCAAGTAAAACTCATTCTTGGTTGACTTGTCATTCAGCAAAGTTTCATTACTTTATTGTGTCTGTCCCTGCATGCTCTAAAAATTTTTATTAGTTTTGTTAGTTTTTTTTCCCTGCACTTTAACCCTTTGGAATTCTCTCCCATCTTCATGTTTTCCTGACTCATAGAACCTACAACAACTTTCTAAGTCCTCTGTCAACTTTTTCCTTGCTCTATAACTCTATTCTTTTTTTTTTTCTCCCAACTTAGTTGTGGTTGCTTGCAGCCTTGTTGGAAGTGAATTAGATATATATTAGGGTGGTTCATTTTGTAAAAATTTTTAATATTTTTTTTCTCATGGTTTCCTTTGTTTAATAAAACATTTAGTATTTTTTCGTAAAATTTGAAACAATTTGAACAATATTTAGAGGCAGCTGTGTTTTGAAAAAAGCCATACATTCTGGTAACTTTATCTTGTAGTATTGATAAAAATTTGTTTATAAAGTTTTCTTCACGTCATTGCAGCTTCTTGACTGTTTGATAAATATTGATAAAGAAAATCCTTTCTATCTAAATCCACAAGGCCATTTTACTATGTCGATTCACACATTATGAACTTTTTTTAGTGCACATATTTGGTTATGCAGCTGTTGTTTGTGATGATCAATGCCTTATTCTGCATAGTCATTGATAGCTTTCATATGTGGATCTCTTTCTTTCATATCTAGAAAAACCTGATTAGTGTTCCACTCTTATAGATACTTATTAAAAAATGCTGCTGCTTTAGCTCTGTCATTTGTTAGGAGGAGATTGAACAACTTAATAGGGTGCTCTGTGACATACTTATTGTAGTATTAATGTCAGACCCGGTACTTTGTAGTATTAATGTCAGCATTGTATTAATGTCACAATTGTAGTACAATTGTCAACCTAGCACTACTGAGTTGCTTTAGATTGCTTGCCATCAGTGCACAAAATAAAAAGTTTAAAGTCAACTGTTTTTATTAACATGTCAAATAAAAAAAAAACTTTTCATTGTTTTAATTTTTGTTTGAACTTTATGAACTTTGTAAATAAAAAAATGTTTTTAATATTTTAAAATCAAATCTTTTCTTTTAACAAAAAATCATTACAAAGTTTTACGGTAAATAACTAATGCTCCAATTAACAGTTTGATCTAAAATAGCTCATCACACTGATTTAAAACGGAGTTTTGTTCAAAGAAGGAGTTTGATAACATCAAAAAAATTTTGCTTTGTATTGTTTGTAATGTGTAATATTTTTGTGCATCTAACTTATTGAAACTTTTTATATAATACAATTAAACATTTATAAAGTTGTTAATTAGACATAAGAAAATTTTATTTAAAATTCTTTTTTATATAATTTATTACTCCCTAATGATTTACAACAAATCATTAGGGAGTAATAAATTACAAAAAATTAGGAACACCTTTGTATTACCATACAAAGATGTTCTTAATTTTTAAATTTTATTAATAAGTTAGAGCAATCATAATTTAAATAGAAACCAAGTGTAAAAATCATGAATTTTTTTTAGCAGGCAATGATGATATGAAGTTAATCCTGTAGTTTGTAAAATTAAAATAATTGAAACTGATTATTTAATACTTTAAAGCATTTTAATACCACCATTTTAATACCACCATTTTATAAAATGCTACAATAAAAATTACTAAGGCTAATCATTCTCTCAATAACTCGATAGAAAAAATGTGGTGATAATTATAGTCTATTTAAATTACTAAATGGGTTAATAATATTTATTCATCGCAATCATTTTACAAATGGTGGCAAAGTTTTAAGAGGTTTTAAAATGATTTAATAAAAAAAATTTCATGACAAAAATTTCATGAGAAAAAAACAGTTTGAATAATAATAAATTTAATTAACAACAGAAAATAATAATAAAGTAAAAACATTAATCAAGTATAAAATAGGCAACCATTGATTTTATTGTGAAGTGAAAATAAAGATTTAAAAAAAATGAAAATATAGATTACTTCATAAATAATTTGCGTACAATAAAGTGAATTAAAACCATGTCGTGTAGTGTCGATCTACAAAAAATTAAACGTTTTAAACAATAAAATTATTTTAGACACTTATTCAAAATATTTCATTCTAAAATATTTTAGATATTTAGTAATTTGAAAACACATTATAGTTGTTTGTAAAAAAAAAATTGTTAAAACTTAGATTTATTGAACTGGTCAATCTTTATCAGCAAGAATAGTTGTTGACTATTGACCACCTGTTATTTTGTGTTTGTTGACCATTGACTGCCTGTTATTTCTGCTTTCCATTGTTGACCGGTTCAGATTTTTAGTCATTTCTTTCTTGATATCAACATCAATTTTTTGTTCAAAGAAGGAAAGACTATTTAGTTGTTTTGAAATTTTGTAAAGATGGTGTCTGAATGCTTTGGTGAAGTATCTCTTATGATCCTCTAGACTGAAGCCACAGAACCAATATCTCTTATGATCCTCTAGACTGAAGCCACAGAACCAATCATTCGTAAAAGATTTTTCAGCTCTCGAGTCTTATCTCAAAAGTAATCATATATAATAATAACAAACAAATTGCTGACACCTCTTTTTTCTGACTGAGTAAGTAGAAAAATAGTCCCTATATAAAAATTATTACTCTTAGATAAAGATATCAAAAAGGAATAAATTTCCTTTAACCTCCATTGAGGATTGTGTATTGCACCTTGTGCTCTAAAGTGGACATTAAATAATTTTTGACACCAAATATCTATTTTTGATACTGTCTATATATTTGCACAAGTTATTTTGCCTTTTGACTTCCTAATTTATTTCTAACTTTTTTGATCAGATAAAATCTTTTATTTGTGTGAATATTTTGAATATTTTTCAAATATTCTTTCTATTGATCCTGAGCTAGCACGATAGATAACCTAGCTCAGGGTAGCTCAGCTATTCTGAGCACAGTCAATAGCTATCCTGACCATAGTCAATAGAAAGAATACCATGGCTATCCTATTTTATATCTTTTATATATATATATATAATATATCTATATCTTATAACTATATCCTATTCTATATCTATATCTATTATGACAATCAGCTATCCTGAGCAAAGTCAATAGAAAGAATATTATGGATCCGGTCAATAAAAAAAATATTTTAAGTCATGTTTGAAGTTAAGAAAAAAATTTGCAAAATCATTTGGGATATTTTTTCTAAACTGATTTTCAGTCTCTCTGGTTGGCGATTTTCAGTCTCTCTATTGGCGACCACAATATTCACTGCACAATGTTGTTTATATTATTTGATTGCTCAACATTTTTGTAGGAAATGCATCACAATTTTTTAGTTTGAGCAAACTCAACACAGTACAAAGTCAGGATAATGATTGTAAAACCATTCTTCTTCATTTTTAATTTCAATTTTTAGGTTTTTACCTATGAAAAAAAATTAAGTTCTGATTAGCATATAGCTGTATAAATCAGTTTTTTTAATTCAAAATGTATTTTTACCAAAAAAGTGAGGGTTGGTTATGCATAGAAGACAATGGAGGCATCATAACATCATTACATCTCTTCTTGATAACTACATGGTAATAACTTAATTCAGGATTGTTTAGAAGTGAGAACCACAACTAAGTTGACTAGTTTTAGATGAAGAATGTGTTTTATTTTTCTTAATGTTCTATACTGTTTTTAGATTTCAATTTCATTTGTTTAATTTTGTTTTTTGCTTTTTTGTTTTTATTTTATTGACTGATTCATTGATTGACGCAGAGGATACATCGACTGAAATAGGTAGAGCTTGTAAGTGTACATATATCAACTGACCTAATTACATAAAACATGTGAGGTGTGTACATCTAATGACTTGAATAGGTAAAATGTGTAAGGAGTGCTGCTACATCGACTCAGTGTTTGTTTAGCGGAAACAATTTATGATGATTTGATATCGTGAAATGATAGTTAATGACTTTTAAAAGATACTTGTGCATTATTATTGATATTATTATTATTGACTTAAAACATACTTGTGCATACTTGACTATTATATGTGTCTTTCAAATTCATGATAGAAACAATTAGAATACACTGAACAGCAATGTCCAGGAAAACATTTTAGTTGTAAGCAGTAAGATGATAATCTGGTTTTTAAATTTATTTATTATCAAGCGTTCTATATATTTGTTGCTTTTTTGTAAAATATGCATCAGTTATTTTAACAGATCTATTAACTGCATTTTTATTAAATCTGTTAAAAGTTTTTTTTATCATGTTTACTTTTAATTTTTTTTTAATTTTAGATTTATAAAAGTAAATGTAATGGATTGTTTTCACTTTAATTGTAGAAATCAATTTCAAAATACATAAATAAAGTTTAACTAGACTGTTGTTGTAGTGGACAGTAAATAATAATAAATAATGATAATAATATTATGTTATTGTTTTTTTATATTTTTTTATATTTTTTTATATTTTTATTATATACATTTTTTGTATTAGGAAGCAAAAAGTACCAAAATAATGAAAAGTTTTCAGAAACTTATTCCTCAAGAAGCCACTGTCTTGCGTGATGGTTTAAAAATGACAATAAATCCCAGTTATTGTGTAGTTGGAGATATTGTGTTTGTACAGTCTGGTGACACAATTCCTGCTGATATTCGTATTTTTAAATCTAATGGGATGAAGGTCAGCTCTTAATTTTTAGTAAACCTATACCCTATACAAGAAAATTACCTCTTTGTTTTTTATACTAGGATTTGTATAACAACCCTTGCTAGCAGAGAAACAAGGGTACTAAAATGATAATGTTGAAGAATATAATGTCATGTAATGATGAAGTGTATAATGTCATTTTTAATAGGTTAAAAATAGATTGTAAAAGTTATTGAAATAATAAATACAGTAAATTCATAAAGTAACAATAACATATATTCAAGAATTAGTAATAATATATATTAAACAAGAATATATATTCAGCAACTATGGCACAGTGGTTAGAGTTCTTGCTCATAACCAAGTGGTTTGAGGCTTAATGGTGGCTTTGGCCATATATGTGATATTGGTAAGGAAATAGACCTAAACTTCTGGGTTAAATACTCTTCCCCAATGCTCTGTGATAAGACTATTAAGTCTTCTTGAAACACCTTAAAAAAATAAACTAAAAAAAAATATTTATAAAAAGAAAGTTAAAAAAAAAAGATAATATTTTTAATCTTTTAAAAATTTTAACATGATCCTACCTGATGAGAACTATATGTGATATATTTCACACTTTGTTTTTTACCTTGACAAAAACTTTTTTTTTGATTATTTCTAAGAAACAATTATTTTTTAAGTTAAGGAAAAGTAATTATATAATTGTATAACTGTTAAGTAAATGATTTACAGACTAAATAAGTTTACTTTTACAAATTGATAGCAAAAAAAAATATTTATATATATATTAAATATTATGTTTTTGCTTATTTCTCAGTTTTACTACCTAATTTGTAAATAAAATATATTTTACATGTACTAATTGGCACTGACGCATCTTATATTGAATTAGAATACACTTTTCTACCAATCAATTAAACTGTAAGTTATTTTGCCTGCATATATAATAATGTTCAAGATGGCATATACTTATCAGGTTATTTAGCTAATGAATTAAAAAATGGCAGGAAAAGTTGAATTTTCTATTAACTAAAGAACCGTGAGTAAGGAAGGTTAAAGGATGAATAAATATGATATGTTTTTGAAGTACTGAATAATCTCAATATCAAATATGTGAAATTGTTTGGTATTAAAAAGCAGATAGCAATGTGTTGATATTTATAAGATAATTTTTATAAAATGTTGATTAAATCACAAAGAAAAT